ATCAAGTCCCCCTCCCTCGTCAGCCCAAAGAGCAATCAGGGTTCCCTGCCCTGTGGGAAGTCCAAGGACCACCCACCTCCATCCAGGTCTAGTAAGGTGAGCATCCAAACTGCCTAGGCTCCCACAAAACCAATAGGTGCAGTAGGATCTACACACCTGGCTTCTTGAATGAGTTCTGGGATTGAAGTCAGGTCCTCATGCTTACAAGGCAGGCGCTTCACGAACCAGCCAACTCCCAGGCCCAACATCATCTATTTGTTGAGTCAGCTTCTCACAGTGTAGCCCTGGCTGGCTCGGAACTCACTATGTCGACCAGGCTGTCCCCAAACCCACAGAGATCTGCCTGCCTCTGCCTCAGAGCGGTGATGGGATTAAAGATGTGTGCCAACATGCCTGGCCTCCATCACCTTCTTTCTCTTTTTTATAAGTTTCATCTTGTTGATAAGTCTGCTTCTGTCATCTCCCCGACAAGACTCGGCAAGCATGAAGATCTGAGTTTGAACCCTGAGCACCCATCCCACAGAAAAGTTAGGTATGGCTGCCTGTGCTTTTAATTCCGGCACTGTGGGGCAGAGAAAGACGGATCTCTAGAGCTGTTAGGCCAGTCAGAAGGACTGGAAATCTCCCCCTGTCAGGGCTGCAGGTAACAACACAGAGAGTGTGCAAGATCTCCCAGAGGGGGCTCTGTGTAAATGCCCTATGGCAGATAGGGACTATGGAAGGAGTCAGGGCTTGAGTCTAGACCCTGTCGTTGCTCTCCCAACCAATCCGTTCTCTGCCATTCCTTTCTCTTCCTGAGTAAAACATTCTATTTCTCTCACCACACACAAGCCTCTGGTCCAGTTCTTTGTTTCAGTACCCAGAAACCTGGCACTCTCAGCAGGTGCCTTCCCTAATTTGGGTCACGCCACTAACTGTAGTTATGGGAGCTAGAAAGGCCATTGAGGATGGATCACTTGCTAATGGCTCTACCTTTTCCTGATCTACTCCAAAGTTGAGAACATCACAGGTCACTGTCTCTGTATCCCGTACCCCCCAACCGAAGAGGTCTGTCAATCATCAGCTAGAGACCGCCCTCAGGGAGGCCAGTTTACCTGAAGTCATTCTAAGGAGGTGGGAGGAATAATTATCCTCTTAAAGACATAATGTACTTTTCCTCCCTGGAAAACCTGCCTTATCCTTCCCAGAGCCTCACCAAGCGACCCCAAAAAAGATGGCCACATTTCTGAGTCCTAACTTTTGATTCTTTTCTATCTCTTTTGGTGGGGGGCAGGGGTACTGACCAAAGCTGAAACATTTTCTCTGGTGCTTTGGGTTTCTTGTTCTTTCTCTGAAGCCACTCCTGACCAGCTTGCCTGCTGACCTCGGCAGCAGAACGTTCTGGTCTAACTCTAGAAAGACATCTATTTCTGCCTTTCTTTCCCCCTGGAAGATACCCTATTGTTTTCTCTCAAACTCTAATAACAATGTCCCCAAGCTCCCTCCCAAGATCATTTAAAAATTCTTTTATTACTGAGACTGAGAACCCAAAGAAGAAACCCCAGTTTCCCCAGTAACGAACATATGGTACCCAAAGTGGAGTCCCTGAAATTTCACCAGCACAGCCTCCTCTCCAGAACCCAGCAGGAAATGACGTCACTCACCGATGATGCCAAAGGAAAAGATAGTCAGCTGCTTGCCCAACTTGTCCATGCTCTTCTGCAGAGGAGTTTTAGGTGTCTGTAGGGTGGGGGCAGGGCACGGAAGGACAATGGTGTGTTAGGACTCATGACTCTTTTGACTGTTCTGAGCGATGGCCATGTGGGGTACACATGCATATATATTTGATAAAATGGTAAGTTTTGTTTTCTTTTGGGGGGGTCACACATGGGGTTCTGAGGACAACTTTTGGGAGTTGTTCTATCTTTCTCACACGTGGGTTCCTGGGATCAATCTCAAGTCATCAGGCTTGGCAGCAAGTGCCTTTGCCCTGAGCTACCAGCACACATGCTGGCGCACATACTGAAGTCTTCAAATTAAAAACACGAAGCCTGCTCCTACTTCCTGTGGCCTCCAACTTTCCGGGGTTGAGCAGGGCTGACCCTGGCTTAGAACAACCCTGATGAAAACAGTGGCCGCCCCCGGCCCTGCTGCCCTCACCTCTTCCGCCTGCATCATCTTGAACACTTCTCCAAACTGAGACTGTTCCCCGGTTCCGATCACAACTCCCTGTGTGGAAGAGAGAGGGAGGTAACAGGGGGCCTGGAGCTGCAGGGCCAGCACCCCGGGCTCTGCTTACCTGACCCTTCCCGCACTGCACCAGCGTCCCCATGAAGACCACGTTGCTCAGGGTGCTGAGATCGCCACTGGTCACCAGTGGGCTGTCTGTTTTGCTGCAGGGCTCCACTTCTCCTGTGAAACTGGATTCGTCCACCAGGAGGTCTGTGACCTGGGGGACAAAGGTGAAACTCTGCGCTCCCCTCTTGCCCTTCGGAAGTCTTGAAGCTTGCAACAGTACCAAAAGCCCTCTAAGATGTCAAGGAGGAAGGAGCCTTGGAAACCCATATTCAGAATCACAGAACCAGAAAAGCTTAAAACTCCCGGCCCCTCCAGGAAGACGCGCAAATCTCACGCCTTGTTTAATGCCATTTGCGCCATGAGAATCACCAGAAAACATGACTCAGCTGCTTCTCGGAATGCATCTTTGCCTCTCTAAGGACCTGGACCCGCTTCCCACAGCCGGGGGAGCCATATGGCATAGTATACGAAGGCTCTACTCTATATGGAGCGAGCATCTCCAGGAGTCTATGCGCTGCTATTCAGTTCCCTCTGGGTGGTGTTAATAGGGTGGAACAGGGCCAGCGAGATGGCTCAGCAGGTGAAGATACAGGGCAGAGGGAAAAGCCCTAAGAGGAGGCTGGGAGGATGGACAGACTTGAACTGAGATCTCAGGATGGGAAGGCCAAGTCCATGGGGGGCAGTACACAGGGACACAGGGACACAGGGACACAGACCTCACAGCAGACAGGGCCCCTGCGTGGAGACAACAGTGTCCCTGGTGTGGAGGTCAGGCCTGGGTTGTAGCTTGGACCTTTTCTGCCCCAAACAGCTAATTCCTATTCATTTGACCTCAAGGTTAGCCCCAAAGTGGTTGTTTCCAGGGAGCCCCTCCTGCCCTCCGCAGGCAGGCCTGGTCTTTGGGATCCCCAGGGTTTTCTATCATACTTTCCTGACCATCACTGAACAGCTACCTGCAAGGACAGGCTCAGACCTGTTGCTCTGGACGCTAAACCCATGCTCAGGATCAAGTCTGTTCTCTGTAGTATCCTTGGCACCCAGCACAGTGCCCCGTGCATAGACACCTTAGATCACCTGGGCCCGGTGGTGCCAGTCAACCATTCGGAGCTTGGGAGGCTGAGGCAAGAGGACCAAAAGTTCAAAGCTAGGCTGGACAACTTAATGAAATGTCAAAATAAAAGCAAAACAAAGGCAGGAGATGTAACTCAGTGGTACAGGTGGGCTTAGCACACACGAGGCCCCGGGTCCCTGTCTTGGTGCCAGAGGTGTAAGGGAGAGGCCCAGGGATGGAAAGAAGAGCTCGAAGAAGGGTCTTGGGTGTGAACCCTCCCAAGGCGTTCATATCCCCATCTTCAGAACATGCGGGTACAGCACCCTGTTTAGCAGAGGAACTTGGCAGGTATAACAGGCACTCTGAAATCGGGAGGTGATGCTCTGAGAGAGTGGGGGCAATGGCACCCTAAGATCCTTGGGGGAAGACAAATGATCAGAGAGGGACTAAGGGTTGGCAGGAGCCATGGACTGGCACCTCCCATCGCTGGAAAGTTGCTGGTCTCTCGACCTGGGAGAGAGCACGATCTGCCTGGACTTGGACCTGGGCTTTGTTACAGCATCTGCTGGTGTCTGACAGGCAGGAGGGACCTAGAAGAGCAACTGTAGAAGAGGGGGTAAGGACAGCAGATCGGTGCCTCACAGCCTGGGTAGAAAGCTACCCTGAGTGCCCCTCAGGAGGCTGTAGAGCCCTATAGGCCACCAGGGGGTGACAAGAGGGTCTCAGGTGTCAGCAGGTTCCTTAAGTACAAACACAGCCACACGTGTTAACACTGGGAAAATGCTCCGACAAAATGTGCCTTTACGGGGCTGGAGAGATGGCTCAGTGGTTAAGAGCACTGCCTGCTCTTCCAAAGGTCCTGAGTTCAATTCCCGGCAGCCACATGGTGGCTCACAACCATCTGTACTGAGGTCTGGTGTCCTCTTCTGGCCTGCTGACATACAGACAGAATATTGTATACATAATAAATAAATATTTTAAAAAAATGTGCCTTTACGCATCTTCAGTTTGAGCCCACATCACAGTACGCTGGCCAAGCCAAGACGGCTGTAGCGTTACTGGGGGGGCAAGTCTAGTGGGCCACCACTGTGCACATGGCTCTGGTAACCATGCAGTTTGCAGTGTGTAACCATAAACAGTGGTCGCTTCCCAGGAGCCCTGGACAGAGCATCCGAATGAGGAGGAACAGGTAGTTGTGGGGAGGAGGGCACAATCTCACAGGAATGAGCATAGCCCCAGCATAACAAAGGTGGCTGTGCTGAAGAATGGGGTCCACGGAGACTCCCTCCCTTACCAGGTCACATGTGTGCCCCTGTTCCCTCCACCCCCTGTATGCCTGTTCCCAGTGCTAGGACCCCTTGGCAAAGCTTGCTTGGAGTTCTGACAACTCCGTTCAATTGTCTTCATTTTAGTCTCCACAGGGGAAAGAACAGTCAAGAGCTTTTGCCTTTGTTCCCACTCAGGGGACCAGAAGGCAAGGCTTTGGGACCCCATGCAGCCATGCACGGACCATTGTGGGTCCTGTCCTCAGGCTTGTGAGCCTCCTGTGCCCGGAACTCGGTAGTTGGGGCTGGCCACTCCTGAGTCTCGGAGCTTAACTGTCGATAAAGGTGTTTTGCTGTGGACAAACAAAGCTATTGATTGTCCCAGGGAGTTGAAAATGCCAGCAGGGGGATGTGTGGGACGTGATGGTGTTACTCTCGTGCTGTCCATATGCCCAGGGTGTTACTGAAATGGATCCGAGGCCTCAAGAGCCAGGGGCAGTAGTTAGAGGCTTCAACTCATCTAGAGGCCTATGGTCTACTCAGGGCTACAGAAACGTAAGTCACCAGTATCTGGGCCGTTACTGGTTGCAGATTGCCTGACTGCACAATAACTCTGGGCAGTCTGGACAAACGCCAGTTATATCATGAGACACAGGGCTAGGATTTAAAGCCCAAGGTTCTCTTGTCCCATACATCCACTGAGTTTCTTAGGAGCCAGTCAGTGTTCCCATAGTTCTGCAGGCATGAACTCCTTTAAGGCTTCTAACTGCCCCAGACTGCTACCTCCTCCTGCCTTACGTATAAGACAACTGAAGTACAGAGAGGGTAAGCAAAGAGCTCCAGGTTACCCAGGTAGAATTTCAGGTGCCGGGTTCAAAACCAGTCTTAACTTGCAGCTCCTCTCATGGCTCTGCCTCCTTGCCTCCAAGAACACTCGCAGAAGATGTGACTACTGACCAGCTGCGTGGCGTCCTCAGGACTCCCTCAGTCACCTGCTTACTGAGAGTCCAAAGAGCACTCTCCTGTTCTTGGAAGAATGTGTCACTCAGGTGACTCTGTCACCCAGGCCCTTCTCCAGAATGTAGCAGCATCACCTCGCACAGCCCCAGGTGTGCTAACTACTAGATCCTAACTCTGAACCCTTAAGCTGTGGGAAGAGCCAGCCCCATCGGAGTTGCCAAACCAGATCTCAAGGCTGCGCTTGATGGTTCTCTGTCTCAGTTTCCCTCCTTGCCATGAAGTCTCCCCCAGTCTTGTCCTGGATGATTTTGCCATTGTGATCTGCTCTATACGCCACGTAACCAGGGCTGGGAGATAGTTTAGTTGGTAAAGTACTGAGCCCTAGACCCGTTCAGGGAGAAGAAAAAAGAGAAGATGAGGAGGAGGAGGAAGAAGAGGAAGAAGTAATAGGAGGGCAGCAGGGCGTGGTGGTAAACCCAGAGCTAGCTAGATGGAGATAGATCCTGGGGCTAACTGGTTCAGCCAGTTGAGGCTACTTGGCAAGCCCTGGACCAGTGACAGACTGTCTCAAAAACCAAGATAGACAGTACCCGAGAGATGACACCCAAGGTGGCTCTCCAGCCTCCACACTCACTCACTCACACACACACACACACACACACACACACACACACACACACACACACACACACACACACGAGATTGAACACATATGCACAAAGCTCCACCCAACCAAAATGTGTTAGGCCTTTGCTGGTGGTCTCCCTCAGCCATGGGGTCATGTTCCCAGCTCCCCAGAAGGTGCCCAACTGTAAGAATCAGTTGTAATAAATGTTCTCTCTGTCTCTCTGTCTCTATTTCTCTCTGTCTCTGTCTCTCTCATTCTCCCTCAAGATTGAAAAAAATTACTAATATTTTTGGGCTACAGTTGACTGTGGATAACAAACTGTGGAAATGGAAGCCACACAGCCTGGGCACCTCTGTTCTTAGAAGGTAAGCCACTTGGGAACAGTGACTTTGGGGGGTCTTGTGCTCATACCCACCAGCCTGCTCATCAGGACTGGCTGTTACATGTTGCTCACCTCCGTGAGTCGGATGTCGGCAGGGATCCGGTCTCCGATGGACAGGGACACGATGTCTCCTGGAACCAGGTCTCGGGCAAGCATGTGTTGGAGCTTGCCATCCCTCAGGCTGTGTGGGAGAAGCAGCAGAATGGTGAGCCCCACCTCACACCCTTTGACAACTGGATTTAGAGATCAACTTGGGGTTTCTATCGCCGGCAAACTCTCGGGAGTTTACAGTTCTGCTTTTTAAACTCGTATCTCAAGATACTTGGGAAGGCAGATGGCTCCTGAGAGACTCTGGGTCTCACCTGAGAAATGAGGCTACTGCCTCCAGAAGCCTCTACCAGTGGAGGCCAGCTGCTTTATGGCTTTTTAATGGCACCTGGGAAAACACACTTGGACACTGAGAGAACATACCACCCTGGCTTGGAAGTCAGGGAGGAAAGATGTCATGGGGGCAGCGGCATTGCCTGGGAAGCCTGGCCCTCCTTCAGGCACAGCCACCTGCCCTGGGATGATCGACAACTCTCAGGGCACAGGTTCCTACTGCAGTGCCTCCTCTTCTAGTCCCTCTGGCCTCCTGTTCAACTGCCCAGCAGCCAGGGAGAGCTAAACCAGCCCCTTTATTCCCCCCAAATGCTCTAGCGGCTTCTCTTGGCCTTGGAAGCAACCAAAAAAAAATCTTCCACCTGACCCTCTCTACTCCTGGTTCCATTCAGGTCTTGCACACACCCCTTTTGTGATCTTAAGAGTCTTTATATAGACTTCGACAGTTAGGGTTGGTATTCCCGTTATCCTGACAGGGGATGTGATTCTACTTAGGCCTTCACCCTTCTCCACAGATGCTTGTTTAATTAGCTAGTGAGTGACCACTAGGTGTTATCATCAGAGCGGTTCCATCCTTGCCAGGCTTAGACATGAATGTGTCACAGAGCTCCAGCTTATGAGACGTGAGATGTTGCCTGGAACCTGCAAGAAAAGCTACCTTGCCCTGTACACACACAGTCTCTTCAGTGGGACCTATACAGTTTTGTGTCTGTGATGCCTGGAGCTGTGGCAGTCATCTTGGCACCACAAGGAAAACCAATCAGAGTGAAATGCCAACAACCCGATGATGGCAGAGGAAGGAGGCAAGAGCCAGCCCATGGCACATGTCAATCAACCTCACTCTGTTCTCTTGCTGCGACACAATGCCATTTCCTTGTATCCTAAGCAATTAAGTTTTCCATTCTTTGTAGCCAAGAGCACCAGGCACATCCCGCTGCTCCATGGCTCTTCCTCCAATGCCGTCTCTTCCTCTGATATCACATCAAGGCTGTCTGATGGGCTGTTTGGCGCTGTCCTTGTCCCTCCCCCATCACTACAATTCCGCTGTGGCTGTTGTTGGTTGATGCATGTGTTTTGGGAGCAGTGGTCACCTAGGGAGCATCAGCTGCTTGCCAGTTACCCGGTCTCTCAGCTCACTACCTCATCCCTACTCACCAAAGGACCCTGAGCTCTCTGAGGTCTGCAGCCTCCCCACTCCTCCCACAGGGATGACCTCACTGCTATGCACCTCACCGTGCCCCTGCTTCCAAAAGAAAACTGTCTCTGGAGTGGCCTCTGGGGACAGGAGTAACATGCCCCATGACTGAAAAGCCAAGACTCAGGATTTGAACTTAAAGTCCAGGTACCATCATAGATGGTTCACATTTCTTTTTTTTTTTAATATTTATTTATTATGTATACAATATTCTGTCTGTGTGTGTGCCTGCGGGCCAGAAGAGGGCACCAGACCTGATTACAGATGGTTGTGAGCCACCATGTGGTTGCTGGGAAATGAACTCAGGACCTTTGGAAGAGCAGGCAATGCTCTTAACCTCTGAGCCATCTCTCCAGCCCCGATGGTTCACATTTCTGCTCAGCTGTTGATGTCGCCTATCTGGATTCGTGACAGCCTCGTTCTCCAACCAGTGAGCCCAGATGTAGTCATAGTTCCCTGCATCTTCTAGAATGTTCCTCCTGCCTATGGGCGTGTGTCTCCCACTCCAGCTGACTGTGGCCCTCTTCCTCCATCTCTCTATCTGTCTCTCTCACCCTGTAACTGCTGGCACCTTGGGAGACCAGCCAGACCCATGACCCATGGGGCTTTCTTCCCACCTACAGCCCCAGCTCATGTCATGGGTGTCCCTGTAAACTTCATGCAGGGTCCAGAGCTGAGCTGAGTAGCTGCGATCTCTAATGTGTCTCAGGCCATGCGGGGACTCTAGCCCTCATTTTGAGCGGCACAGGCACTGAGGGGACTCTGCAATATTCAGGGCCCTCAGCTGGGTTGGTGGGTGGGGGAAAGGCAGGCTTTCCTGTGCCTCTTCACAGACCAGAGGTGGCTTGTGAATTCTGCACCATGTCCTTAAAAGCTGGCCCCAGAGCCAGCTGGGAGATGGCTCAGCAGGGTCAAACCTGACCACGTGCATTTGACCCCTAGAAGTCACATGGCAGGAGAGAACTGATGCCCCGAAGTTGTCTTCTGACCTTGTACACACTGTGACATGCTACATTCACACAAATGTACACAAATAAGTAAGCATAAAAAAATGTTCAGAAGTTGGCCCCTTGTGCACTTAGAGTCCTTTCTGTCCAAGCGTCCCGTCTTGCCTATATGCCCACTTTAATAAACCCAAATAAAATGTCAGAAAATGAGGATTCCATCTCCCCCACTCGGGCCATACTTGGAGTTCTTGTTAGGCACGCATGGCTAGTGACCCCACACTGTGTAGGGTGGGTGAGAGGACACTTCTGGAAGTTTCTATGGCTGTGTGTTGCACTAGGTTGAAACGCTGTCAAAGGTTGGCAGAGGTTGTCACCTACCCAGAGCTGCTGAGCCAACCAGAGAGCACCCTTGTGGGAATTTGAATGAGAATAGCCTCTAGAGTCTTAATATGTTTGAATGGTTGGTCCCAGTTTATAGATGTTTGGGAAGGCTTAAGAGGTGTGGTCAGGTTGGAGGAGGCGTGGTCTTATTGGAGGCGGTGTGGTCTGGTTGGAGGAGGTGTGGTCTTATTGGAGGAGGTGTGTTACTGGGGAGTTCTAAAAGCCCATGCCATCCCACTTGGCTCTTTCTTTTTCTGCCTCGTGGTTGTCTCAAGAGGCAAGCTCTCAGCTACTGCTCCAGCGCCATGCCTGCTTGCTGTCCAGCTCCCCGCCAAGATGATTGATTACACACTCACCCTCTGAAATTGCATGCTCCAAATAAACTTTTTAAGTTGCCTTGGCTGTGGTGTCTCTTCACAGCAACAGAACAGTCACTAAGACATCCCTCACACATAGCCCTGCCTCAGCCACACCGTGCTCTGTTGCTGCGCCTGTTACCCCAGGCTTAGCTTCATTTTGAGAGCACAGGGACTCTGGCCCCTCTCTTTAGGGAAAACTCAGGCTTCTGCTTTATTCTACAGGCTCTTCCCTTTCATTGGCAGCCCTAGGTCACCCCAAGTTAGACCCTGCTGCCAGAGCAGAGACTGGGAGAGACGGCACCTCCTGTCTGTGATCACACAGCAAAGCCACCACCAGGGCAGACACAAGATCTTGTCACCTGCCGTGGAAGCCCCCACTTACCAGTTGCACTCTGGAGGCACCAGCTTGGTCAGCTCTTCCAGAGATTTCTCCGACCTGTATTCCTGGCAGGAAGCACATCAGATGTGCTGTTCAAAGGGGGGAACCCCGACAAGACAAGTGCCCACCATGTCCCTGGTACCCCACCCAGATGGGATCTCGGGATGTACACACCTGGATGAAGCCAACAGTCACCACGATCAGCACGGCCTGGAAGAGAGGGTTCCGGGAAGGGAGGATGTAAGCAGGACTTTCAGGTGAGAGTGAGGCCAGAGCCAACTACCGCTGCCCTCCAAGACCTGAGGTGAAGGCCTGTAATCCAAGCTGCTCAGGAGACTGGGGCAGAAGGCCTGCCTGCACAACTTAGGAAGACTATGCCTCAACCTCTAAAAGGAGGGCTGTGTGTGTGTGTATGCGCACAAGTGTTCCCATCCAACGTCAGAAAAGCCATCAAACCCCAACTCCCCCAGGGCTTGCACACTGGGGAACCCTTCTAGATTTTCCTGCAGACACGCTTTTGTCATGGCATCAGGCGACAACAGACATATTCACTTTGAGCCTGCTGTGTTCACCTGTGAGCTCTACAGGCCTGTTCTACACCTGCAGGTGTAACTCTGACACCCCCCCCCATTCACACCATGGGTGGGATAGGCCACGCCTATGAAGAGGCGGAGCGAGAGCAGCAAGAGATGTCCACATCATTTGCAGGGTCAGACACAGATGTGATTAAACTCAGAAAGACGTGAGGGGCGGAGGCCATTGGGGCTGCACAGGGGTGGGGGTGGTATGGGGGTGGGGATACAAATGACTGTCGATGGCACTGGGTTTCTTTTAAGGGCAATGAAAGTGTTTTTGAACTGGTCAGAGGTTCAAACGAGTGTGCAAAATCTCAGCATAAAACCATCAATCTTTGGTTTTGAGCAGTCTCTGTCCTGGAACTTGCTACATAGGCCAGGTTTACCTCAGACTCACAGAGCTCCACCAGCCTCTACCTTGAGTGATGACATTAAAGGCGTACACCACCATACAGGAGTAAAATCATCGTAGCTTTTAACGTCTATCTCCCTTAAGTGAGACAAGCTTAAAAGATGAAGTAACCTCTAGGATATCGTGGCTCGGATGTGAGTCACGCACCTCTCATAGGCTCATGTGCTTAAACACTTGGTCTCCAGATAGCGGTGCTGTTCTGCGAAGATGTGAAACCTTTGGGAGGTGGAGGGTCTAGTGGAGAGTGGAGGTTTATATCCCCGCCCTGCTTCTTGGTCCATCTCAACATGACAGGCGGCCTCCTTCCTCTGCGGTCACAGCCATGCGCTACTCCCACAGCCATGCCTTGGCCACCTTCTGGACTGTCCCCTCTCAAAGCCTGAGCCAAAATAAAGCCTCTTCTACATTGTTCCTTTCTGGTATTTGATTGCAGCAGAAAGACAAGTAACTAACAGAGTGACTGCATCTTATAACACATTCAGATCCCCCAGGGAGGGAGACGGTGGCAGAGCAGTCTGCCCCCAAACAGATTCCATTATACTGGGGCTGCCTATGCCACACAGACCCCCTCAATGCTGGCAGGGGGGCAGGTGGTGGATTTGCTTGTTATTAATCTATCCTTTCTTTGCTCACAATAAATGCCCCACCTTTTTCTTGTGCAATAACTGGTCACAGGACTGGGGAGATGGTTCAGTTGGCAGAGTGCTTGGCTTGTGAGTATGAAGTCCTTAGTTTGAGCTGCAGAACCCAAGTGAAAAGCCAGGCATAGTGCTGCATGCCTGCAACCCCAGGGCTGGGGAGGCAGTGACAGGTAGCTTCCTGGGGCTTCCTGGCCAGCCAGCCTAGCCTACATGGTAAGCTCTGGGCCGGCCAGAAACCCTGTCTCAGAAAACAAGATGAATGGATCCTGAGAAATGTCAGCTGAGGTTGACTCTAGCCTCTGCATGTATGTACACATGTTTTGAAAAACAACTGGCAGCAGAGCCGTGGTCCACCCTGTCCAGGGGCTGAGACCGCCAGTCACTCACCAGGGCGATGCTGATGGCATCCTCATACTCCTTGGTGAGGACGCTCACCACGGCCGAGCCCAGCAGCAGCAGGATCAGGGGGTTCCTGAACTGGAAGGTGAACAACAGGGCAGGTCTCAGTTTCACAAAGGCCAGAGTAGGCTCCTACCTGCAGCTGCTGGGCAGATCAGACCTTCACATGAGGCTGGCCTTCCAGGTCCTTCCTACAGTGGCTAAGGGCTTGGGAAGGGGGGCTACTCTATCTGGTATTCCTCCTCTGTAGGAAAGCCCACTGTTGACAGCCTTCCGGGCTGATCATGACACTGCCCCATCCAGACCCAGCCTGGTCTCTGAGTTCTTGTCTTGCCTGGCCACACCTCATCCATTATTCTAGGAATGCATGGTGGATGCCAATCTGGCTACATTGCCAAGCACTCCTCTCTTGGTATCACAGACCCCAACCCTGTGTGCCACAATCAACCCGCTCCTGTGATAATCTCTGGGGACTCTAGTGATGTTCCTCTTAGGTTGACCTCTAACCCCCACATATGGACACATGTCACATAGGATCAGAAGTTCCAAAGATTTCTCCAAAGAACTTCTGATGGCTGCTGTCTATCACCCCTTTACGTCATGACGACTCGCATTACGGAGAATTAAAAAGGAGTACGAACTCAGACAGAGTCGGAGATCAGAGCTGAGGAGATCAGGGAGAGAACTGAAGGATTGACAGGCGAATCTCTGCCTCTGACCTTCCCACTGGCTGAGGTGCAAAGGAAACAAGGCCCAGAGTATGCATGGGTCCCACAGCTCGAGAGAAGCACTCTAGTGCGTGGTGGTGTGACACGTGAAGGACTGAACCTCATCCTCACCCCTGGAGAGGCCATGTGTTTTTCACCTGTGGAAGGACCCAGTGGGTGGGGGCAGCTTGGCAGCAGCCCAGACTTGGCTCTAGCAAAAATCTCAACTCTTCAACATCAGGAGGCCCAGAGACATTTTGGTTTTGGGTTAGGGTTGCCTTTGAGTCTAGCAACTCATCCCTACTGGACAGTTGGGAGATGGCCGTCCTGATGTCACAGACCCTGCCTGCCCCGGGTGTGGCTGTCTTTTCAGGACCCAGTTCGGGGCCCAGTGGCATGGTGTGGTGGATGAGAACTCAGAAATCTGGCTTCTCCTGCCTGTCTCTACCACTGGCTCACAGACAATGTGGAGCCATCTGGGACTTCTGTTTCCCAAGGTGTGGTCAGGCCGCCTTTTTCTCCTTTCCCCTCCCCTCACGCTCTCCCGTCTTTCTCCTTCATTTTGGTTTTGGGATAGGGGCTCCTTAAACTTGCTATCTGGTCAGGATGGGCTTGAACTCTTAGTTCTTTCATGTCCCAGGTACTGCAGTCACAGGCATCCACCAAGCCTGGCTATTTTAAGTTTCCTGAGTCACCATCTTAATATGTAGCACAGGCTAACCCAAAACTCACAGTCATCCTTCTGCCTTAGTCTCTGAGTGCTGGGATTACATATCTGAGTCTCCGTGCCCAGTTGCTCCTGGCTCTTAAAAAATCATGTCGGTGAGAGTAGCCTGGCCAGGGCTTAGTAACTGTCCGTTGGCCATGACATCCGACAGATGCAGTGATATTTGGTATTGGTGGAAGGGAGGAATGGTGGCTGTGCAGCTCCAGGAATGGCTCTCTACCACCAAGAAGTTTCTCATCCTCCTTGACAGAGCACTAGAGAGGAGGGACAGAAAGGGATGGGAATGGGTTGTTCTTTTGGAGAGAGAACTATCTTCCTTGGATCTGTTCACCTTACTTTTGGAGATGGTGTCTTTTTACTAGTCTGGAACTTGCCAAGCAGGCTAGGCTGGCTGGATCCACCTGTCTCCACCTCCCTGGTACTGGGATTCCAACTGCACCTCACCAAACTCAGCTTTTAAAAGGTAGGGTCTTGTGTTCATTTGGCACAAACACTCTACTGACTGAGCTGTTTCCCCAGCCTGACAGTGACTTCACTTTTAGTGACGTGAGGCACAGGTCTACTCAACTGTTTCTTCCTTGGCCTTCTGAAACGCCTGTTTGCCAGGACATCCGTGTCTCTATTGGCTTCCTCTGGCAAAGCTATGTGCCATGCAAAGCCTTTGCCAAGCAAAGACTTCCTGCTTCTTTGCCACCTTCTCTCCCTTTGCAAATGGCTTTAGGGGGTGATAAAATAAATTGGCACTACTGACTTCTTTACAGTTCAGCATGGTGCCTGGCCTGTGGCAAGCATCCCTAGTACCCATCATTGCTAGTCAGGGCCACGGCCACCTCTATCTTTAGTCACCTATGCAGGGTTCCTCTTGGAGGCTCAGAGCATCCAAAGGGCAAGATTGTTTATCTAGAAACTCATTCACCCCACACCCCAATAGGGACCTGTCCAAGGACACTCAGGATCAATATTTAAAGAATGATTGCTTGGCTTGCCCTTCCTGGCTGGTTCCCTTACTGACACAGAGGACGACATCCTGCACCTACCTGATCCAGATATTTCTTCCATACAGGCTCAGCGTTATCGGTGACAAACTCATTCCAGCCATGGACCAGCCTGCGCTGCGCCACGGCCATCTCCGACAGGCCACTGTCCAGGTCCACCTGAAAGGAGATAGGAGATGTAGGGTAAGCACAATGGGCCCAGCAAGGACCAAAGAAACAAGTCACGGGTATCGGGTGAGAGCCGACATCTTCTAGGGGAACTAGGAAAACGGGCTTGTCCGTGGAGGAGGAGAACTGGGGCAGAGAGGGAAATAAAACCTTCATTTCTCAATAAGCCCACAGGTCAACACACAATGGCCTTGAGTCACGGTGTCATCAGATGCAACTGGAGATGGGAGAGTAGACAGGCAGAAACAGGGTCTTTTCTTTAAAAAGAAAAGCTGCAGGTGGTGCCACCTTTAATCCCAGCATTCAGGAGACAGAGACAGAGGGATCTCTGTGAGTTTGAGGCCAGCCTGGTCTACAGGGTGAGTCTCTTCTGGGACAGGCTCCAAAGCTATGAGAAACCCTGTCTCAAAAAACTAGGAAAAAAAAAGTTAATAAATCCTGGGCTTGTGATGCACACCTGTGATCCAAACATTTGGGAGGCCAAGGCAGGAAGGTCAGAAGTTCAAGGACAGCATCAACTACAGAATGAGTGTGAGGCAGCCTGGGCTATATGACACCCTGTCTCAAGACACCAAAACAAAACATAAATGGTTAAGAAAGCCAGGTATAGAGGGTATACCTGTGACTGCCATACTTGGGAAGCTGAGGCAGGTTTGTGAAGTTCAAGGCCAGCCTGAGCTACATACCAAAATCTTATCTTAAAATAAAAACACAGGTCTAGTAGGGTGAGCATCCAAACTGCCTAGGCTCCCACAAAGCCAGTACGTGCAGTAGGATCAAAAACCCACTGCCATTGTTCTTGAGTTCTCAGTAGTCCTCATTGTCCGCTATGTTCAGTGAGTCCGGTTTTATCCCATGCTTTTTCAGACCCAGACTAGCTGGCCTTGGTGAGTTCTCGATAGAACATCCCCATTGTCTCAGTGTGTGGGTGCACCCCTCGTGGTCCTGAGTTCCTTGCTCGTGCTCTCTCTCCTGGTGCTCCTGATTTGGACCTTGAGATTTCAGTCCGGTGCTCCAATTTGGGTCTCTGTCTCTGTCTCCTTTCATCGCCTGATGAAGGTTAATATTCAGGAGGATGCCTATATGTTTTTCTTTGGGTTCACCTTCTTATTTAGCTTCTCTAGGATCACGAATTATAGGCTCAATGTCCTTTATTTATGGTTAGAAACCAAATATGAGCGAGAACATGGAGGTGGGTGGTCCTTGGACTTCCCACAGAGCAGGTAACCCTGATTGCTCTTTGGGCTGACGAGGGAGGGGGACTTGACTGGGGGAGGGGGAGGAAAATGGGAGGCGGTGGCAGGGAGGAGGCAGAAATCTTTAATAAATAAACAAATAAATAAAATTAAAAAACAAAAACACAACCTAAACCCAAACGGCTTATGTTGTATATCTTATTATCATCAAATTACATCTTAAAAACAAAATAGTTTTTTGGGAGATTGGAGTGGCCGACGTGACCGTATCATCCACCCCATGACAGATACTATTCCAGGCCCTTAGACACAACCAACTTCAGCGTCGGTCATGGTGTCAGGAAGCTCTGTGCCCATGTGAGGCTTATGGAGAAAGCTGCCCAGGGCTGCAGGAGTGGGAGGGGAACTAGAGCGGGATTCTCAGTAGGACAGGGGGTCTGAGCTCGTTATCTAGCTGGGGAACAAGGAAAAAGGCCTTCCTCCCCTTCTCACCAAAAATCAGGACTTGCGGTGGACTCTTAGGTCATTCTTAAGGCCTGTCATGGTACATGTGCCCTTTCCCTGCTGCACGTTTGTTTTCTCAAAGCAGGATGAGCTATGAGTATGTACACGCCCATGTTTATCCATGCACACACATATTCCTCACACACCTCCAGGCACACACATGCCCATGTAGTGTATATAAGCACAAACATACTCATGTACATAATACACATGTACACATATGTACACGCACATACATACATCTAAACACATACCCCCACGTGCATTCACATGTGCACATATGCATGTGCACACATATACATGCACATAACTCAATATCCTTGCACAGATACACATATGCCCATGTGATACATTTATGCATGCAATGCATACATACGTACATGCACATGCATACAACGTACCCATGTGCACGTGAAGACACACACACATATATGTATCACCATTTCTGCTTGGTGTAACATAATCTAAAGATACGCTGCTGGCTCCATCCTGTGGCCCCAGAGGGCAGACTCCTAGGTCAGGGCTGGCTTTTCTCCTAGGTCAAGGCTCATACATTCTAGTTCCCTCAGGCACTCGTGAGAATCTGATATCTGTAACTGCATCTCCATGTCATAAAAGATGAAAAGTGAGAGGCAGGTGTGGGAAAGAGTTTGAGCCCTGAGGGCAAAAGCCTGGAGGAGCCCTGGCCACATGTTGTCCTAACAATGCTGGTCACTCACTCACGTTCTGGCCATTCTTTGCCTGCCAAAGGTCCTGTAGGTAGAAGGACGCTTGGCCTCTAGCAGGGACCACAGGTCTGGGTCCAAGGACAGCAGCACCGCTGAGATTCTGTGTGGAGATCCGAACCATTGCACATGAACAGCTTTGTGGGACTTTCTCTTAATCCACAAACTACCTGATGATGTTGTCAGGTGCGATGGCTTATCTCACGAACCCGAAAGGCAGTAGAATCCTCATGAACACACTTCCGGATGTGTCTCTGCAGGCATTTCCTAAGAGCCTTTGGCCTTTTGGCCTGAATGTGGGTGGCACCATGGCGTGAGTGGGGGCCTAGCCAAGCACCAGCATTCAGCTCTCTCCACTGCCTGAATGCAGATGCGGGAGAGCAGCTGCCTCCTGTCACGTGACTTTCTGGCTATGCTGGACCGCACCTTGAACCAGAAGCCAGAAAGACCCCCTTAAGCAGCTTTTGGGAGACGTATTTTGTCAAGGCAATGAGAAAAGAAATAAGCACAGATACAAAGTTCTTACATGGAAGGCTCTGGCCAAATCTCCTTTGCTGCATTTGCACGCTTCCCTGGGTGGTAGAGCTGTGACAGACTTTTCTCTTTCGATGGCTTTCAGCTCATACTGGTCGTCGATCTGTGGAGAGAGCAGTGTGGCTGGTGAGGAGCTTGGGACTTTTGCTGTGCGTCTCTGGTTAAAGCAGGGCACACGTATGCAACATGTGCATACCCCAGGTACACATGCCTACCCACGTGACCCGCTTCCATATCACGAGACAGATGGCATCAGTCCCCATGCTTACTCTCTTGACTACCCAAAGTGCTTTCTTTCCAGTGGGAACGCTACAGAAACGGTCACGTGCCCAGTACCCTCTGACTGTGCTTCCTGTACAAGTCAGTGACCGTGTGCAGGGTGTTACACCGCTCTCGCAGGGTGTCCACAGGTGCTCAGCTTTTCTCTGCACAAGTAGATTCTGCTCCTATTCCTTCTGCTAGGGGCATGTGGGGTTTATGTGTAGTCATTGGCTATTATTGACACATCTATTTGGAAATAGCCTTTTTCTTTTTTATTATTATATTTTACTGTGTGTGTATATGCTTGTGTATGGTGTATGTATGTGGTTAACACTGGTATTGTCTATCATTGTGTCCACTCTTTTTTTTTTTTTGAGACAGAGTCTCTCACTGAACCTGGATCTCACCTATTGGCCAGACTGACTGACCAGTAAGATCTGAGACACCACCTGCTTCTGCCCACTTGTGCCCTGGGTTAGGTTACAGATGTATTACAGATATGTGCCACTATATGCATGTCTATGTGGACACTGGGGATCTGAACTCAGGTCCTCATGAGTGTATATCAAAGCGCTTTGCCATCTGAATGACCTGTCCAGTTGCACGAAACAAACTTCTTCAATAGGGCTAGACTAACAGATCAGGGTGACGTTTTACACGGACCCCCTTATTACAACAATCTGGGCTGAGTATAAACTGTAAGGAGTGTCTCCTGTGGCAATATGTGATCTCACACCCGTGTTCCATTTTTGTAAATAATTTCAGGAACGAGGTGGAGGTTACTGTTAGGTCCTAGAAGCCTGAGGACGTGTGTGTGTGTGTGTGTGTGTGTGTGTGTGTGTGTGTACCCAAAGCCCTAGGCAATTAAACCCCCAGGGGCCTGGGACACTGTCAACAGAGGGATCTCAGTACCAGGGCACATCAAGACATCTACAGTGTTCTTCCCAGAATTCCGACACTGGAACATGATAGCATCTCTTCTTTCTCAAGCCACCACCAGGAACTGGGAAGGAGGAAGGGAGAGGTGCTAACTACTTCCTTTAGCTGAGGTGGAGTCCAAGTTCCTCTTCCCTTCCCACCCACGCCAGCACTCCAAGTGCAAGTTAGCACCCAGTGGCCCATTCGTCCACAGGAACCGTCAAACACATCCACCCCCTGGGATTCTACTGCTGGTCTCAAAAGCCAGAGCACGGCAGTGAGGACAGGGCTCCTCGCCAGGCTTCCCCGGATGTCTTCGCACCAATCACAAGCCCACTGCAGACTCACTGGACAGAGAAATAAACACCATTGGACTGTGCGGCTCGAGTCCTGCTGGCCCCACTCAGTCCTCACTCTTGTTCCCTCTGCGTGGGAGACAGCCCTGGTGTGAGTACACCGGGACCTCTCACTCTGGCTGTACTGCACTCACTTTCCAAATACAGTGTCCTGTGACATTGAAACATCACACACACACACACACACACACACACACACACACACACACAGAGTCTTCTCTATCTTTTCTCTCTCTGGCTTGGAGACACTCAAATCCTGGCTGCTTTCAGGACACGCCCATCTCTCTTGGTCTGGCTGTGGTGACTGACACCCCCTTGACCCACCCCCTGCAGTCTTTGCTGCCACAGCCTCATTTTCTCTGAGGTTTAACCTCTATGGGTTTTCTAGAATAGAATCCCACACCAGCGGGCCTCCCCTGCCTCCTTGCCTCCTCCCTGACCCCGGAGTACTGTTTGCCTGCAGCAAACAGCCTGTTGCTCCCTTGTGGGGGCCCTGAGGCAACAGTCCAGGACATGAGACTTCTCAAGAAAAAGCTTCCCCAGCTTTTCTTGGGCTTAGGCTGGAACTGAGCCCAAGAGAGACCAACAAAAGACAAATGTGATCTCCCGTGGAAGACACAGGCTCTACAGTCAGCCTGGAGCTCAGGGCAGAGGGAACCTTTGGGAAGCAGGACTCAGCCTCCCTCAGCCCCATCCTGGCCTCCCTGCCTCCCTGACTGTCCAGTGCATCCTATTCATGTCCCTGAGGTCCCAGGATCTCTATCCTGTTCTGGGACTGATATCACATGCATTCCCCAACGTACTGGCTAAAATGACCCCTGCTTCTGTTTCTTTCTCTGAGGAGTAGGGGTTGTCACAGCAAGGCCTTACAGGACTGAAATAGGCTATTGGAGCAAAGGAGAAGGCAGGCCCATATGCAGTTCCTGGCACCAAGAAACCCCAAACCCAGGTGGTGAGGGGACAGCAGGGTTGCTCTCAGAAACTAGGGTCCTGAAGACAGTGCCGGGCTTAACACGCAAGAGTGCAGAGGCCCTGCCACCCCTGACAACCCAGGCAAGCAGTCAGGAATTCGTCTGCAGACAGAGGAATCAGTCAAACCGGGTATGGGGGCATGCATCTACAATCCCAGCACTGGGGAGGCTGAGGCAGGAGGATTGCTGAGAATTTAAGGCCAGTATGGGCTACACAGTAAGATCCTGTTTTCAAAATAAAATAACAGTATGGTATCTGAATCTGTGATGGAAATGGAGGGGTCACAAGCTGAGGACAGCACGTGGCCTCCCTGAGCTGGGAAATGGTCCCTCCTGAACCCCCTTCCCCTAGAATCCGCACAAGGAGCTGCTCTGGTCAGGCAGCCTTTTACTTGGGAGACCCAGGTTGGCCTCTGTTTTCCAATCACCTGGGAACACATGCGCATGGCTTGCAGTGACGGAAGTGAGTGTGTTAGGTTAAAGCAACAGTGGTACCCTGATGTTGTCGTGGCCTGCTTGCTGAGCTCCAGACTCCAGCCCCTTTCCTGGACCCAGACACATGGGCCTGTTGGCCCACAAAGAGGCCTCACACACTCCTCCACTGACCTCATGGGAGAGGGGCTGTCAGAATCCAACTCACACAGGAGTGCCAGCACCGCGCATGCAGAGCAGAAGATGCTCTAACATGCTGTAGAAAGGAGGAAAGATGAGAACAGTCTCAGTGTTGACCCCAGAAAGGGAAGGGGCGAGGGGCCATGATAGCTGCATGCATGGCCAGGAGACAGTCAGAAGGCACAGGAACGGACAGGGGTGATGTTCACAATGCAGGGTGCCCCTTATGACAGCACCACCCTCATCCCCATAGACGCCAACACCTATGCTGTGGCTTCTGCATGGGGCACAAGTCTGCCCTAACAGTGCTTCCTTGGCTCGCTCCTTTATTCCCTGGCTTCCTCCTGAATGTAGAGAACCCTGCCTGCTGCCTGGGAGACCACAGTTCCCATGCTAGGCCAAGAAATTATGCAAGCACCTTCACTTAGATCAACAAGTAAGAACACAGGACAAAGATGAAGCCATCCAAGTGCAAGAGGAAGCGAAGGGCTGCCTTTTCTTAGGATTGCAGAGTGAGAAAGGACTTTCTAAGTACAAGATAAAACTAAGATAAGACATAGACGGCTCAAGTCCCAGGTAGAAAGGGGACTGGGCTGTGTAGCACCCAGTACGAGCACTGTCAGTAGAATCCAAAGATAAAACTTCCGCAGAACAGCAAGACAAAGAGTTTATCAAAACAACGTGAGTCTCTGGCCCGTGAAAGAGGAAAATGGCCACCCATTTGTGTGTGAGAGAACACTGGAAAAGGGTATAGACTAAGAACGCAAGCCTATGATAAAGCCAAGGGCATTCACACTGGCGCTGGTGTGGGGGGGGGGAGGTCTCCTCTTGCAACTGTAGGGCATCAATCAGGAAAGTCAGAGCACGTGGCCTCATTCGAGTTGGATATGCTCTGCTCACTTCCTGTTCAGATGCCCGTTCTACAGAAGGGTCCTCTCAGAGCCACACCTCACAGTACTGCTCAAATAGTTGTGTGTTAGTGTCAACTCGCAGACCCGCTAATGGCCTGGCTGGTGACCCATGACACTGCGCTAACGTCTGTCCTAAAGCTTCCCTGAAAGGAGACCCAGTGACTTTCCTGGGCTCCCTGAATGGAAGTGTTAACTGTATATTGAAGTATACCTGCCATAGTCATGCGTGTAAATCATGTGCGGCTGTATGGAGACTCACATGTGTGTATGTATGCCCAAAGGAGCACCACCTAGAGCAAGGACGGAACTTATAGCTCCCAGAATCTTCCTGCCCCTGGGCCCTCTCTCACACACTGCCTTCTAGAAAGATTACACATACTGACTGCTTTGCACATGGAATTGCTCTGCCCGTCTCCAAAGTGGCACACCCAGGGACCCTGTCCTCCTGTTAGCTTGGCGAGAGAAGCTATGATGGTAGGTCTCTCCATTGCTGCGTGAAACCCTGGGCATTTCATTCTGTCACTGTATAGCAACCTGGCATCACGATTTGTTAGTGGATCGCAGGGACTGGAATGTAGGCTGTGTCCAGTTTGGGCTGTTATGTCATACACGGCATTGGTAGGTCCCAGGGCCGGAGTTTAAATATAATGGATACTTTCCCAGAATCCTCCCCCCCAATAGTGGTACCATTAACAAGAGATAGAGAAGGAAAACTGGAGGTGTGGGCCGCTGTGCATAAGGTGGCTCATGTAAAATGTGGAGAAAAAGAAAATGGAAGAAGATGGAAGATACACTTCTGGCAGAATCCAGCAGACAGCGGGGACCCGTGTGGTTTTGGGTTTGGAAACCTGGTAACTGAAAGCAGGGACAATGGGAAGCAGTTTTATGCTTTTGTGAGTGAGTCTTTTTTTTTTTTTTTTTCCGAGACAAGGTTTCTCTGTAGCTTTGGAGCCTGTCCAGGCTGACCTCGAACTCACAGAGATCCGCCTGCCTCTGCCTCCCAAGTGCCGGGATTAAAGGCGTGCACCACCACTGCCCAGCACTTTTGTGAGTCTTGAACTACAAGTGAGAGTT